ACAATTGATGTATGTATGGATTGTGATAAGATTTGTTTGAGCCTCCAGTAAAATGATTTTTTTTAAAAAGAAGAATAAGAAAAATCATGAAAGCATCTGACAGGCCAACTTTAGGAAATTAACTACCTTCCGTTAACAATACACCACCTAGCCAAGATTACTACCAAAATAGATGTTCAAGTAATCAAGGTTGGATCATCACCCAAAAGTTCTGACCACAGCAGGGGACATATCTACCTACAATGATGAGGGTACTGAAAATCCACCTTGCTCTCTACTCCCTTTCTGCTCTTGACATTAATTTTTTTTTAAGAAACTTAATGGAGAGGTACAGTTTGCGTAGTTTTAAATGATGTTTAAAGCAATATGTTTACTTCTAAGATCACTCCCATTATCATTCCTTTTTTGCCTAAAACAAATAGGAGCCATACCAAAAACATTTCCAGAAAACCAGAGAAGTTGAGAGATGAAAGGGAAGTGAACGATCTGATGTGTCAGACAACGCAAGGATAAGACCCCAGGGAACTGACAAGAAGTTGGTTTGCCTACTTCCTGGTTTCTCAGGACCTTACCCAATTCCTGTTCATTCACAGCAATGGCTGGAAAGTGGTAAATAAACATTAGGATTTCAGACTGTCAACTTGCCACTGTCATGTCTGTTATTTTCATTCAGCCCTTAATACTTTTACATACTTACAAGTGCCTAAGTCAGGCACGATATTTGTTCGATGCTCACAGTCTCAGCCCTGGAAATGTTGGCATCTAGTGGGGGAAAGCAACAAAAAATAGGCCATTACAATAGTGGTCTAAGTGCTACATTAGAGCAAGTCCAGGGTGCCTGGAAAGCCATTAGAAGAGGAGTAACCCTGACTTGACAGTCAGTGACTGCTACTCAGAGCAATGGAGTTGAACTTGAAACACAGAAGGAAAATAGAGAGGCAATGAGGGATGGAAGAGTGTTTGTTACTGGATGAGAAACAACATTTTGTACAGAAGCTAAAAGATCTCAAAGCTCATTTATGGCCCAATCCACTTCCCCAGGGAAGAAACCTTCATAAGGAATTTGGTGGTGGCTAATAAGGGAAGGAGTTTGTGGTGGAGTGAAATTTCTTAATATGGCCCTTCCATCCCTGTCTCTGTAATTCCCACCAAATGATAAGGTGGAGCTACGCACAGAGGGCATGTCTAACAGTAACAAAGAAGACTGGTCAGTTTTAGTTGCCACTCCCCGGCTATAAGGATGAGCTGAGTTGGCAGGAGCACATTCAAGATCCCTATCTGAAGTGATAGAGATCAAGGCCAGAGGCCCCAGAGGCTGCGCATGGAGGTCATGAAGCAGACCATAGGACCCAAGACAAGTCAGAGGCCAAGGCAAGGAGAGTATGAGCTAGAACAGAGGAGCTTTGCTGAAACGATGGGACTGTGAGGCAGAGTATTGTGGGCTGACTTCCTGGACAAGGAGGCCAAAACCAAGGGACCACATGCCTGAGAGGTTGAGAATTAAAGAGAGACTTGGTTCCTGGCTCAAGAGAGGTGTTGCTCAGGACTGATGCCTGTATCCTTACTGTTTACTGATCCTGACTTGTGATAACTTGTTAACTTCTCTAATAAACCCATATAGTTGAAAATGTTGCCTGTGTAGCTATTGCAGCAAGTTAATCAACCAAGCTTAGAAGTAGAGTGCCATAGGATGGACGGTTGGTGGCAGAATAGGATAAAGAGGGATGAAGGATAGAGGCATGGCTGAACCTTGCCTTCTGGCTGTAGAGAAGCCAGCAGAGGTTGGATATGGCCACCCTCATGCCCTTTCCTCAGAACCCTAATGGCGCAGTGGGCTGAACATTAAACGACTGTGTTAGGCCAGGTTCACTAGAGAAACAAATCCAGTGACATATATGTATAGAGAGAACTTTCTATCCATAACTGATTATATATCAAGAAAGCACCCCAGCCCCATCCAACTCAAGTCTTTAAGTCCAATACTAGTCCACAAATCCCTCTTCAGACCCACACAGCCACGTGCAATGATGCAGGAAGATCACAGGTCAAGGGATGCAGAGTTGTCTGGATCCAAGGTCAGTGGAAACATGGTAGGGATCCAGCAGCTCTCAGGGTGGCCAGCAACCAGCAAGGTAAAGAGAGAAGGAAGGAAGTTCCCAGGGGCCTCCTTAAGAGAAAGGCCACACCCTCAAGGACACAGACACGATTGACTGGTTTGACTCCACCCCTAGCTGGCATAAAATTATCTGACTACAACTCCTAACCACGATGTCAGAGGTTCAAAACCACCAGCCACTTTGTGGGAGAAAGATGAGAATGTCTGCTTTCAATTCAGAAACTCTAAGGAGCAGCTCTACTCTATCCTATGGGTCATTAAAAGTTAGAATCACCTCAGTGGCCATTGGTTTGGGTTCTTTGGTATAATAAGAAAAGGTATGCCTTTGTGAAGCGTGCCCT